GATTGGATTTTTAAGATAATGTTAGATTTAATAAGATTCACTGAAGCAATAGTCTCATATACCATGCAATCCTCTGTTGGAGAATCTCCTTCAGCCAATGGTCTTGTAGATGCTGGACCAGGTTGGGCATGGCTATTGGTACCAAAAATATGCACACTCATAAGCCTGCTGGTTTTTTCTCTCTCTCTATGATGGCCCTTCTCCCAACAAAAGCTTTCCCTCAAGGTGAGGGGTTGATTATAACAGGTATAATGTTGGGGGTTAGGGTGAAAGTATTGTAGGCTCAGGGATCTCTCTTTAAAAAAAATGAATGAAGAATAGCTGGATTAGTGTGAGCTTACTCACTAATTATAATTGCTCACTAATAATAACAGTATGAAATAAAGTGAATATTTGTGAGCTATTACTTATAGACAATTTGTATTGGAATAGATTCTTGTATATTAATACAAATTCACATTATATTTATTATATAAAATTTTCTATTTCTGGTTACCATATTTGTACACCTTTGCAAAGTTATTTTGTCATATTGTATGCATGCACATTTCTACCTCTCTTTAAGACTTTTTGTATATTGATACAATTTTAGAATATATTTATTATATTACACTATTCATTTATATCTTTAATCAAGATACTTCTATACTGTTTGCATTTTGAGGTCATTGTCCTCATTTGCTGCACAGTTGTTTAAAGATTATTTAATATTCTAATATGAAGTCTTATACAAGTATTAAGTATTATAGGTCAATAGTCATCGACAATTGTCATAGTTAGATTAATCAAGTTCTTTAGAAGCATAGAGATTGCCTTCTGCACAGAGAGGTAATCTTCAACCACTTTTAAAAACCTGTAGAATATGGCATATACATAAGTTCAGGTTCTGTTGACATGAGACCCAATTGCTCCTGGCAGCACTGATCTATTCCTGAGAGAATATTGAGCAACAAAGGTACTCTACTTGGAGCTTGTTTTTATCTAGGCAAAGCTGAACTTTGCCTATGCCTCGACCATTTATAAAATGCATGGTCTCTGGACTGGACAAGAAGGATACAAGAAAAAAAATGACAATGTTTGCCAAAATGGGGTAAGATGATTTTAAAATTTTTGCTGCCTCTAAAAATGGCCTGTAAGTTACTCTAGGTCTTAGCCAAATTTGGTTGCTTCAACATTACCAATAAGACACAGAATCTTTATGTTAAATTAATTTTCGAAATAATCAACATATGTTAATTATTATTAATATTGTTTTTGCTAGTTGTAATTCAAATTTTTATACCTGATATCTGCTCTTAGTGTATATTGATTGGTATTTGGTTTGGAACTCTCTTATTTAGACTAAAGGTGGAGGTGATGGTTAACCACCTTCAGCCATTGCCTTTGAGATGCTGGATCAGGTTGGGCATGACCTATAGTACCAAGCTGCTGCTGCTGCTGCTTCTTCTTCTTCTTCTTCTTCTTCTTCTTCTTCTTCTTCTTCTTCT